GATCTGAGAATTGCAGAGCTGCAGGGGACCCTCTGGCTGCCCAGGAGGCACCGCGGGGGAATCGAACCCCCAACCTCTGACGCCAGGGTATCAAAGCTGGCTCTTGCAAGCTCGGCAGACGGGCAGAATTCGGGCCTGACCTACAGGTTCCAACTTAATTGAAGGAAGCAGCCTTTGGACCTCCACCCCAGCCCCACCCCAGTCTTTGCTTCCTCAGCCCCCCCCCGCCCCGAGGGAGGGACTTTCCCAAGCCCGGCTTGTCCCCTCGTGAGCGCAGGAAGCGTCCTGCCTGGCTGGGGACTTTCCTGGCTAGGAAACCTGAGCTGAGTCAATCAGAGCCTCCGGTGCTGTCGTCGTCATCAGTTGCCAGGCAGGGAAGCCCTCCTTCCGCGCTCATCGGGTCTTAGCCTCGTCAGGCCAGGCTGCCTGCACCGGCTCAGAAATGCTAATAACGATCTTCGAACAGAAGAACTAGAGAAAGCCCTATAGGTCAGCATCACCCAGCCGGGGCTTCCCTTGGAGAAGGGGAGAGGAGGGAACTTATGTGGCAGGTTGAAACCTGGGGATCCAGAGAGGAAACAAAGCAAAGGCCAGCGTTGGTTTATGACCAGTGCATGGGCTGTCTCCTCCAGACGCCCTGAGCTCTGCCAGCCGTGGGTCCCCAGGATGCAGGATGGGTCCCGGGTGTTGCACTGAGGGCGGCGGCTGCTTTCAGAAAGGGGGCAGGTATGCCAAGAAGACTCCGGTGAGATGCCCCAGGGCTCCTCAAAACCACAGCAGCAGGAGGATGGGTTCTTTTGAAGGGCACCTCTGCTCTCTGGCCTGGGACCTTCTCTGTGGTCCTTCCAGGTTAAGCAAAACCCTCTTTCTTTCTTTCTTTCTTTCTTTCTTTCTTTCTTTCTTTCTTTCTTTCTTTCTTTCTTTCTTTCTTTCTTTAGCGGTGTGCAATGCAAGAACCAAAATGACATATTAAAATAGCAAAAATCGTGATATTCCTTACTCTCTCCTTGTTCATATCTTCTCTCTCCTCCCTTGACTGGGCTCTGTTGGGAAACCCACAGTGAGCCCGGATGGTTGGAATCAGCCCAAGGTTGTGGAATCAATGTTTCCCCCCCACCTGCTTATTTGGAAACTCATGATCCGCCATTTTCTTTTTCTTCCCTCTCCATAGTCTTATATTCTCTCCCCCCCCCCCAATTTTTAAAATATTCCCTTAATTTCACTTTCAGTATCGTGACACTTTGGACCACCTAAATATGATGTCGCAACTGGAACTCTGTTCCTGTAACTGTAGTGCAACCTGGTCTGCTTCGTGCTGTTCCCAAATAATTTCTCCTCTTTCTGTCTTCCCAAAACACAAAGAAAATACTGAACTAAATCAGATCCAGGAATAAATAGTCTGATTTCTCCTGGTCTCAATATTCTTACCTGTTCCTGTCTTATCAAACTTACTGAATAAACTGTCCTATGGTGTCAGTCTTAGAAGCCTGTTTTGGATTCAGGATCTCCCATGCCTTAAACAAACAAACAAAATAAATAAACTAAATAAAGCCCTTGGAAACACGTTCCACCAAGTGTAGATTTTATTCATGCTGCAAGAAATACAACACAATGGGAAAATTAAAATTAGGATGATGAGATTTAATTTGGAACATCTGGAAAAGACTCGTGATACATTCCTTAGTTTTTAGTTTTAGAGCAAACACTGCGTAGAAAAGAAGCAACTTTCTTGAAGAGAAGACAAATAGAGTTTTAAAGAAAAATTGGGTTGCAGATACCAGTTGACTGCCTACTCCATGGCTAAAAATTAATGGGAAGGAACAAAAGGGGAACCCTTCATCTGGGGAACAGTCTAGAAACAGACTAAACCCTTCCTCACAAAGCAGGGCTCAAGGTCTTCTTCACCTGGAACTCCCCACAGAAACTAGCCTTCTAGGATCAAGGCATCTCCCCTGCCAGGTAGGTAGAAACTAGCCTTCTAAAACAAGAATCTTCTCATACATTTCAGGCTCCTGCAGCTGGGAGAGCCAGCGGGTGAAAGGCAGAAGATGCACGGACAGAAATCTGAAGCACTGTTGCTGCTCTCAGCAGGCAGGGTTAAGGTGACCTCAGCCCTACTCAAGAGCAGGTTCTCCCTGCAGATTCTAGCAAGGATTCTAGCAAGGGTCATAAGAAAAAGCATAGTGGAGCTGCACAGAGGTTGCTGGCAGGCAGAGGAGCTGGGTCTGTTGAGCCTTCGGTTATCTGGAAAAGAACAAAAGAGAGCTGTTTAGGACACAGCCCTCCTCACCTGCTGAGCAAAGAGCCCCTAAAAGAGATTCCCAAAAGATGTGGGCTTACTTCTGAGGAAGTGTGCTCAGAACGGACCTCCGCTTTGCAGTCTTAACTAAGAATTCTATCCGCTCCGCTGACTTTGCTCTGGCCCCACCTTTTCTGTCTCCTAGCCCTGCCCCTTTTTGAATGTAGCTCTTGAGACCCTTCCCAGGTTTGGAATTTGGTATCTCAGTGAAATGAAATGAAATCGAATAAATACTGGCCCACCCCCAGGATCTGAAGAAAATAGTGAAGACATGTTTCGAGGTTTCATGATTGAAGAGGGAGGTTCCTCCCCGTCTCCCTGTGCCTGGTGAGGAAATATATGTTAGAAGCAAGATTTATGCTTTCTTGACATACATGTCCCTTTCCCATGGTAAAGAACTTAAATCTGGGAATGGAGGGAAGAGAAGAGTCGAGTCTGTGGATCCGTCTCTCTTCCCACCATCTCAGACCTCAATGTGAATTGATCGGCTCTCTGCGAAGAAGAAGAATCCCAGGGCATCAGCCCCATATTTCTGATAACAGGATGGGAAAGGTGGAGGAGAAGCCCTCTCGTGGATCTTTCAATGCCCTCCTCAGAAGTAGGGCAGCCTCGAAAAGGCAATTGTTTTAAAAGCCACATTGCAGGCACCCCATGCATTTGGCCAAGGTGGTAAAATCCCCACTTTCTGTGGTGATGCTGAAATCTCTGGAATTCTCCAAGGGAGACAGATCAGGGGACTCACAGGCCACCCCTCCGGTGGTTGGCCTCCTTCATCTTCCTGGCTTTGAAGAAGAGGGCGGGACCAGCAACGATGCCCAGAACAGCAAAGGCCAAGCCCAGGCCACAGACCACCGTGTCTGTTGTCTTGGGAGGGGGAGTCGGTTGCCTGGGATCTGGAAAGCAAAGGAAGAAAAGGGTGAGCCAAGGGTTAAGGACCGGCACTGGACGTGTTTTCCTCTGTTCTATTGGCTCTTCCTGGCAGGGCAGAGCACCCAGGAGTCCTGCCTCTCCTTGGCCCATGAATTCAGGGCTCTACACCCAGAATATCAAAACACACCTCCTTCTAATTCCCCCTTTGTGTAGGAAAAACAAGCAAAACAAATCCAGTTACTAGACCTTAAGATAAACATCAGACTGAGATCCTCAGAATTTTGTTCTTTTCAGATCAGAATCTGGATTTCTGAGTTCTCACTGTCAGAAGAGAATTAATCCTGCTTACACCATTCCCGTGTCAGACTCTCCTGGAGGCCCCAGTGGTCCACTTTGCAGGCGTAGAAGTCTCCCTCCTCGGGGACGAAGGCCAGGTAGGAGAACTTGCGGAACGTGTTGTCCACGCTGGAGTAAAAGTCTGTTTCCTGAATGTCTTTTGAGACCACCTCCTCGTTCTTCAGCCAGGTGATGTTCAGCACTGGAGGGGAGAACTTGTCCACAAAGCAGATGAGGACATTGGGGTCCCCCAGTTCCACTGGGTCTTTGGGGTACACTCTCGCTGAAGGAGCGACTGTGAAAAATCATAAAAGGTTAGTGATCCTCTGGGTTCAAAGCCTTGTTTCCTTCAGTGTGATTCCAATGAACTGGTCAGAACTGGCAGCCCTGCCCCCAAACTGGAATGCCTCTTGGTTGTCTAGCACAGTGGTTCTTAACCTTTTTGAAAAACTGGAATGCCTCTTGGTTGTCTAGCAGAATCCCTCTTTCTGGATACCCCCTCTCTCTGAAATGCCCTTTTATGCTGATCCCAGTGGTCTGGAACCCAATCAGTACCAATGGGAAGTAACAAAGGATACTTCATTTGCTGGCAAACAGAACAGAAAAAGGGACCCCTCCCCTCCCTTTTTAGCCAGCTGGCAGGATAGCTGAGTGAGTTAGGAATCTGGGAGTTCAATTCCCAACGGTGTCTCCTGGGAGTAGAGGCAGCCCAGATAGCCTGACCTTGGGCAAGCTGCATAGTCCCAGGGCACTCCCAGAAGAAGTTACTGGTTATTATTCTAATTCTTGCAAATGTTGCTATTTTGGAAAGTGGGGGATGTAGGAAAAAAGAGAAGGGAAAGCAAAAGGACTTATTGTCATGTCTTAAAGACTTAAGAGATACATTTCAGTCTCAGCATTTTGGGCCAGGAAAGAGTGTGATTTCTTTCCATGAAGTAGGTTCCAATATCCTGGGCTTTCCTTTCTCCTACCGTTCTGCGCCTGGGTCCGGTTGCTGCACTTGATCATGATCTCCAGATTGTTCTTCAAGACTGCCAGGTCGTTGAGGGCTCCCTGCGCATCAAAGCCTGTGAAGGTCCTGAAGTCAGGCAGCCTCCAGACGTCTTTCTTCTGCTCTGAATCCACGTGAAAGATCTCCTCACCGTTCATCTCATGTTGGTACTCACCAGACTCCTTCCCAGAAGGGAAGCTCTCCTGGAAGAAATCTGCTTGCACATAGATGTCATCCACTGAACAGGGATGTGAGAGAAAGGGGAGGGAAAGAGAACAGAGGGGACAGTGAGGCAGGACCTTCTGGATGCAAAGAGAGAGAGGAGAGAAAATGGTAAAATCCTGCAGATCCACTTCCAAAACAGACAAAAGTCTAAAGCCTGCACTGAAATGCATTAAATAAATACCCAAAGACTTTTGTCTCTGATATAATTGGTTACAAAGAAGAAAAAAGAAATTACTTGGCCCATATTTATTTATTTATTTATTTATTTATTTATTTATTTATTTAACTTATATGTCATGTACAACCCATTCTCTGAGGAGAGATCTGTCATCTGTGGGTCTGATGGCAATTTTATATATATTTTAATTATACTTAATTATTATGAATTGTTATTGTATTTTAAATGTTGTAAGCCGCCCAGAGACCTTTGGGTAGTGTGGGCGGCATATAAATTAAATAAATTAAATAAATAAAATAAATAAATAAAT